TGGTTCGGTCCGTGGTGCGGGACACGCGGCTCAGTCTGGACTCCGGTTGGTCAGGCTCCTTGTAGGTGCTCGATGATTGGCCGGCGCTGATTCCGCTCGTTCACACACACGATCTCCAAGTTAAACGATAAACGTATATGCGCGGCGGCGTTTATTGTAAAAGGAGAGGTTTCGTCAAATATTATTATATATACGTACTTATAATTGCTCAAAAGTAATTAGTGTATTTTATAACTTCTGCAGTTGCTACATACATATCCAGACTTATGTTATAACTAATAATTAGATGCGGTTAACTAGGAAGGTTAAATAAGATGTACCTATGATTAGATTGGATTGCTCACGCGAGTAGAATTTAGGAATTAAACTAGAAATCACGATACTCTGGAAGAGACCGTTTCTCTTCGACCAGACCTGACCCCGGGAGGTTTTGAACTATAATAACTCCTTAAAACACTCGCTGCTCGCGAGAGAGAGAGCAAGTCCCGTTTTTAGAACCCGAACGCTTTCAGGAAAAAGGTGCCCCTCCATGCTGGTAGGGCGCGTGAGGTGGGGAGAAGATGTCAGGGGCGGTCCCTGCAGTTCTAGTGCCCCGTCGGTTATTGAAGTAAGGAAAAATTTGTAATTTGGCCAGGGACATTCCTGGACAAGTTTTATAAGTACCGCTGACGTGACATATGATATCAATTGAAAAGAATTGGTGAACAATCTTGATTAAGTCTTAATTACATAACAGTTGAAAACGTAATCAGAATATTTTCAAAACAAAAACTAGAAAATATAATATATTATGTTGCATTAAGCGTCAAATACATTATTACAAAGGAAAATGTGAAATTTATTGTATTTGTATCATCGAAAATTGCGAAAGTAGATGAAAGTAACGCGAATATTATCGCGATTACACGCGCATAAAATGCAAGTACAATGAATTAGATCGCACGGTCCAATACGTTGATTTTTATTGTTCTTGCGAATCCGTGTGTAGAGTGGGTCCAGGCAACAGCATCAATTTTACCAGAGGTCGGATGAGCTCAGATAAGGCTGTGCGAACTGTTGCTACCCGGGTCACATCGTCCTCTCCTGGGTGCAGCTTTGTGATGCGAGCTAGAGGCCATCTGCTTGGTGGTGATGTCTCTGAAATTATTGTGAGCCAATCTGAGGAGCAGTGCTTATCTTGCATCACTTCGAACGTGAAGTCAAGGAATGCAGGTATTCGCGTGACCACCTTTCCCAAAAGTGATCACGCATTTTTTGAAGATGCTGCCAACGAGAGAGAAAGCTTGTTGCCTTTTCTGTGAGCGACAGTTCTGGAATGACTAGCAACGGGGCTCCGATAAGCAGATGTTCTGGAGTAAGCGCAGAGAGGTCGTCGGGGTCGTCAGCAAGGAGAGAATTCAGACAGGCCTCTACCTGAGCTAAGAGAGTGCTCATCTCCTCGTGAGGTGATGTTGCCGATTACTCTTCGAAAATAGTACTTCGTTGACTTTACCGTTGCTCCGAAGAGAGGTGCGGAAGGTGGAATGAAGTGCCATCGGATTCCTTCTATGACAGCAGCATGCGCGATGCGGCTGCCGTTGACGGAAGATGCACGAAGAAGCTCTATCTGTCGGTCGGCGCCAATGAAGTTCGTGCCACAGTCGAAATAGATATCCACATAATCCTCTACATGATGTGAACCGACGAAGTACGGTCAGGAATGCGTCCGTCGTATAATCAGAAACGATCTCAAGATGCATTGTTTTAGAACAGAGATACACATTGCAATAAAGACTTTGTGGGACCGGTGCCTTCGTCTTCGATTCGTGCGAATGAGTCGGCCCGACATAGTTGATGCCGGTTCTGAGGAATGGACATGCAGGGGTTATGCGTCCTTGAGGAAGGTTACCCAGGCGATTGTGACTCTTCTCCATCTGGTACACGTGACGCACCGGTGCAATCAGTATTTTATCATGGCTCATCCTCGAGGAATCCAATATCATAGTCGCAATAGACCCAGAGTCAACTGCACTTCTCCATGGAGTGTTCGGCGGTGACATGACGATATCAAGAGGCGTGTGAGGTGTGAGTGTGGCGGAATGATTATAGGATGCCGCTCGTCCGGAGAGAGAAGCGTGCTTCAGGCGACCTCCGACTCTCAGCACTCCATGTTCGTCAATGAAGGGATTCGAGGCCCGTAACTGGCTGCAAGGTGGCATCAGGCACTGATCTTTTGCGGCATTGATCTCGTACGCATAGTGCAGTGCCTGGACTGCTCGGATCCATTATCCAAGTGCGGCGTCGAGCTCGTCGGGTGTCAATGTCGACTCGATTTCCTTCCGTCGTTGGCATCTCTCTTAAGTGTAGCTAACGTAGACACCACGCTGTGACCCTCAAGAGCCGGTGAAGTGAGGAGAATCGTAAGAGGAGCTCCGGTTCCGTGACAACTTTTGACGTGACAGTGCGAGAGTGGACACGTTGCTCGAGCAATTCCTCCAGTGGAGCTTCAAGTTGTGCGCTGGGCTAGGTGGAATTGTCCTTGAGCAGCCAAGAGGGACCACCAGAGTGGATGATCCACAAGCTCTCCTAGTGTTATCCCCTGAGAAGCACAATCGGCCGAGTTGTTCTTTCCGGGAATATGACGTCATTGTCCTTCTGGAAGCGCCTCCTGTATCATGGACACGCGGTTGGCCACATAAGTCTTCCATCGAGAGGCGTCCTGAATCCAGTATAGAGTGACCCTGGATCAGAGAGTGACTGGAACTATGGACAGACTTAGCACAGTGCGCGTGTGTGCGACTAATTTTGTTAGCGGCGCAGTTCCAATTGTGGCAAGGATACTGGCTTGACCTTGCTTTTTGCCGCTAGCAAGAAAACGTTGACATTGTTAGCTCGGGTGACACGAAGATACACCACAGCTGCGTACCCTCGTTTGGACGTGTCGGCGAATCCGTGCAGCTCTACTCTCGCGTCCTCGGCACTCGTGTTTAACCAGCGGTTGATTCGAAGATGTTCAAATTTTAGGAATTCCTCTAGGAAGAGACTCCACTGGCAGGCGACTCCACTGCTTGAGGGAGCGGGGTGTCCCAGTCCAGCTTTGTAACCACGCTGATTGAAGTAGGATTTTGGCGCGGATCACCATCGGTGATCAACCATCCGAGCGGATCAAACAAACGCGCGGTCTCCGAGAAAATCTTCCTTTTGAATTTTTCAACGGTACGGCTTCGAATTGAGAATGTGAAGGTGTCATCGACCGAGTGTCACTGCAAGCCCAGCGTTGCGTGACTCTCGTGTTCCGCGAATCCGCGAGACAATAATCCGCAGGAATATACCGAAGAGAATTTCAGAATGGTTGGCAGTCCATTTTTTCAGCGAGAATCCGCCCGTCATGCACAGCTGATGGAGCTCAGTTTGTATCGCAATTGCCTCGTCTTTAGTATACGGTCACGATGTCGTCGACGTAGCAGTCGTGTCTCAGTACGGCAGAACCTCGCGGAAATCTTGCGTCTTCATCGTCGGCGAGCTGACGAAGCTGACGTGTGCGGATGGCGAGAAATGTCGCGCACGACAAACCGTATGTCACTGTATTTAACCGATTCTCACGAACCGGATCGCTGACTGAGTGACTCCAGAGAATTCGTTGGTAATCTCTAGCGCCACAAGAATTTGACGGTACATTTTTTCAATGTCCGTCACGATCGCGTATCGTGCCACCGCCACCGGGTCAACATATCGGCAAGAGACGGCAACAAGTTAGCGCCGACTAACAGCTGAGTATTCAGTGACTTACCCGACTTTGTACTCTGAGATTCGTTGAATACCACCCTGAGTTTGGTCAACGCGCTCGATTCTCGGAGCACTCCGTGGTGAGGTAAGTAGCATCTTGCTTGTGGTTCCGATGACCTTGGCACTAATAACATGTGATCCAACTCTTCGTACTCTTTTAGGAAGGCGTGATACAGATGTCCGAACCGATCGTCACGTTCGCACCGTCGTTCCATGGCGGTGAACAATCGCTCGGCTGATTGGCGGGTGTCACCGAGTGCTGTTGCGCGACGCGGCAAATAGTAGTCGCACCTTCCTGTAGTTGTGCGGCTGTGAGTTCGAGCAAAGATTTCCTCGCATCGTTGTTCGTCTGGCGTGATGGAAGTGGAAGGTTCCTTTTCTTGCTCCCAAAAACGTTGTACGAGCGTGGTCAACTTATGGTCGGCGGTGTACTGTGAAGTCACTGAGAGATTCTCGCCGCAGTCTCCCGAGAGAATCCATCCGAGCAAAATGCAGTGAGCGACGGGAGTATGCGGATTGCCCTTTCGAAGGCCCTCTTGTAATGTATAATGGAGCGCACTTCAACAGTAACAGCTCGATGAGATCGGCGACCGTGAATTGAGGACTAGCCAGCTGGAGACTTACATGTGCCATGTAGTCTTGCATGTCGTAACTGCTCCTTGATACAGCGAAAGATGTGGCAGGATGAAAGCGACAGCGGTAACTCGAGCTCTATTGATCCTGGATGTGAGGCTGAGAGACACTTTCTCGCGACAGGAACCCAAGAGTGAGCCGCCAATTCCGAAAATTGAGATTGCCGCGCGGGATCGCGGCAGGCGCATGCGCTGGATTAGTGCCTGGGACTTCCGATCCTTGATTGATTAAGGCTCTAATCGGGTGGATCAGCGACAGTAATTCTCGTGGTAGAACAGAGTGGCCTTGCATTCTTTGTCTTGGCGTATAGTGGTCAACGCGCTTACGTCGGCAGGCTTCGGAATGACGTACGCTTCGTGAAGGAGTGAATGATGTCTCGCCTTATACGTAAAGCACGTCTTCATTGACTGGTACTTTGCGATTGGATGCAAACCGAGACAGTTGTAACACAACTGGTGTGTTTCCGCGATGGACTTTCGTTCGGATGCGGATTTCGCCTTGAACTGTTCGCACATCATCACATTGTGCCTACCCTTGCACAGCCGGGAGCGTCGGTTGTACGTTTAGCGACGTGTGATTTTGCGATTCGCGATTTTGGATCTCCGAAGACTTTGGTGACCTTTAGTTTTGCAGCCTTGAGAGTCAGAATTCGCTTGGTAATGAAGTCCATCAAGATATCGTGATCTGGCAAGTCCGTGGAATCGTTCATGTGAGATTCCCACTCGAGGCGAATCTTCGAGTCGAAGAGCTCGATGATGAAGTGATTAAAGAAGTCATGCGAATTAATTGGTCTTCCTATGCTTTCTTGACTGTTCACGGCACTGATGGCGGCATTGTAAATGCGGCTAAGCTCCTCGGCGGTATTGCTTTTCATCTTCTACACTGCGGTAAACGAGCAAAAATTGGAGCGACAACTCCTTTTTCGTAATGCTTGCACAACAGCGCCTACGCATGAGAATAATTATCTCCGATTACAGCTAATGGACATATCAATGCTTCAGCGGACCCTCCTAGGCAATGCTTCAAGTGATGGAACTTCTCTACGTTTGAGATAGACGAATTATTACCGACGATGGACAAGAATATGTCTCGAAACGATGGCCAGTCTTCAAGCCCGAAAATGATCGAATTTTCAGACGCGGCAGCGCCGATTTGATGGAGAAATCGTTTCCAGATTCATTTGGAGGAGCGATATTTGACTGCTCAGCCTTGAATTTTGTTAGGTAATCGTTCAACAGGCTACGCTACTGCACATAAGTGATTTCAGCGGAATCGGCGAATTGAGATGTACTGTACTCATTTTCGTCAAAGGCTTGCTTATAATATGCTCGTATGTCCACAATTGATCGAAAAACGCTAAGCTGGTTTCGACGGCGTAGAGAGTGATGTTGAGCGTTCCGAGACATCTATCTAATAATTCATTTGAAGAAAAATTTTCATAAATTGGTTTAATACATTGTAAAACTTTTGTGTCAAGAGGTGGATCGTGCGTCAATGTCTTAAGCGTTTTGTTCGAGAGTAAGAAAGAGAGAGAGAGAGAGAGAGAGAGAGAGAGAGAGAGAGAGAGAGAGAGAGAGAGAGTTTGAGCGGGAAGAGTTTTCGAAAATTCAATGTACGCGAATGTTCATGTAACAGATCACAATTTTATTTTCAACAATTCACAGAGTTGATAATTCGCAAAAACGTGTAACAAATTTTTAAATGATGAATTTAATACAGCACAAAATAAACGTGAGTAGAAATCAACATTTCCCTTTTGCAGGCGAACACCCTTTCGGATTTCTATAATGAGCCGAACGCGGTGGTTTTCTTTTGACGGAGCGTCTCAGAGGCGATTGATCTGGATTGCGGAGCATTAACTGCAACTAAAAAGAAAAAGGAAAAGATAGATGATCACTGCTCGATTCGATTTGATCGAACAAAAGCTCTTTTCGTCAATCGCTTATGAGATTCTCCAAAATTATGAATTTTGAGATGATCTCATTACTCAGGCAGCGATTTTTAATGACGATGGCCAAGCGGCACGTTATTGCCATGCGCGCTCGCAAAATCAGCGGTTATGATTGGGGTGTTAGCGAATTACGCGTTTCGCGAGCGCGCGTGCGCTGTAATTAATCAGAATTGTAAAAGCCATTTTTAACAATTGGTTTTTGTGTATGTACATATGCAGTTTTGATTACACTCCTGACTTCAACAAAGAAAGGTGATTGTCAAGTTTATTTGGAAGCGTCTAGAACAATTTTAAATGATATAGCGTTTCTAGACGCTTCCAAACCACATACCGTATATACATTAATTCCGTAAAATCGGCCTTACGAATGTTAATCTCGAACACGTTTCATTGGCTTCTGCTTGTCGCCACTTGCATCAACTTTCAGGCGGGCAGTAATAATGTTGCAGTTTATCGTCAGTCGAGCTTTTGTGAAAAAAAATTGCCCAAATTGTCTTTTTCATTTCTTTAATATCATGAGCATTTCGTCGGATCGCTAAACTATGTTGTTAAATTGTTGATAACTTTAGCAGTCAACTTTCTTCTTCCTTTACCAAAAGTAAGAAGAAGCCAAAGCCTTTGTTATTTTTTTTAACAGCTCGAAGTCTCATTCCCATCCGCTTCTCTAAGTGTCCAACGTACTCCTTTTTTTTTACAGGAACTTCATCACTGTAAGGATTAATATCCAAAATGGCTTTAACGTTTTGCTGTCGCCATCTCCGATTTATGTTGTACATTTGACACCGTATTTTTCCATCGACCTTAGAAATATTTCTTTTACAGTCTCTACTTGCATTTTCCCAGAACTGCCTATGATTAACGGAATATTCTTCCTTATGCCACTCGTTCAAACGTTCCTTATTTTTTGTTCCAATAATTGCATGAAATATAGAAACTCGACTTTACAACTGTATCAATCGCTTTTTTGAAATATTTTCCAATTATAATAGAGTAGTCACACCGAACAATGAGCTAAATCCACTCTTTTTCCACGTTCCATCACTTGATACGGACAAACATTGCGGATTTTCGTTTGCAGTGAGTTCTTTTTCTTCATTAAGAGCAGTTTTGATTGATAAAATGTAAACAGCTTGAGCAGCTGTATACAAATTTTCGAGACAATTATAATATATATCCAATGATTTAATCTTTTTCCAATATTCATTAATCTACAAAATAAATTTATTCCTTGTAATCCAATGCCAAGAAGTCGCATTGCAAAAACGATTCGCCGATTTATCTCATATAATTTATCGATTATAGGACATGTATTAATATTTCATTTACCACAGTCACATTTCATACAAATTTTAAATCCAAATTCATGAATATCTTTTTCATTAAATTTTACGTCTTTTTTACAATCTTTGCAACAAACGTATGAACTTAAAGCTGAAAATACCGCAATAAAATTTATAATTTAGTACTGTAATCTTGATAAACACTCACTTCTGTGTCTTTCGAATTTAATAACTTTTTCGCGAGGTATTAGTATAATCTATATTCAGATGTGCAGTGTATTGATTTTCGCAAAATCTTCTTTTTCTTTGTCTCGCAGGACGTATCGGATTGGATCTCGAACCTTTTTTTATCCATCTTCTTACTTTATTCCTTGGCACGTCACTAGTATTGTTCCGTTTTCCGTTACAAACGCTCAGAAGGGAACGAAACTCTGCTCCATTGAATAGAAATGTTTTAGAATGGTTGAAATGTTTCAAAAGGTTGAATATAAAGGCAAGTGCTCTTTACAATTGGTTGGCGTGCGCTCTATGAATTGATCGAGCGATCCCAAACACCATATCATTTTTATCTCATATGACTATAACATAGACAATTTTCATTTCTCCCAAAAAACATTTTACGAGGATATTTTTAAAATTATAGGCTTTCGAAAAAAGCAAAAAAAAAATCGATTTTTTTTTCCCCCGAAAGCCTGAAGACTTCCTTAACTCTAATGATATGTATCATTCGTGAAAAAAAAAATTTGATATCAACAATTGACGCTAAGTTAAATTCCATGTAATTCGGATACCAAATTATATAAATAATATTAACTTTAATGATATCATTCCTATAAAAGATTTGATATCAAGAACTGGCGCAAAGTTAAATCCCATTTCTTTATACCATGTCAAATTAAATAAATAATGAATATTAATCTAATGATATGTATCACTTGTATAAAAGAATTGATATCAATAACTGTGGCGCCAAGTTAAATGTTACTATCAAAATCAAAACTAAAACTCAAGTGATACTATCTTTATTATTATTTACTTAATCCAAATAGTATTATTTTTAATTTTTATGCAATGAAACCTAAATATACGTATATCTTATTGAAAGATCTTCCTATTCCAATCCAAATGATTTAAATTCCTCTTAAATGAAATAATTATATTACAATTCATTCAAAGACATTTTCTCTTCCAACTGAAGTAGTGATTATTTAATTCTCCTTCAAAATATTATACAAATCATTACCGCAAAATTTCCCTTGCTCAATTTAAGTATTAACACAAAAAAATTAAGAGTTAAAATTAAACCCTATAAAACAAAAAAATTTAATTTAAATAAAAAAATTTTTTCATGTAAAAACACTTGGCACTACTAGATCTCGATATAATAACATAGTAATAAACTATAAATGTAATACTTAGAAAAATAAGAAAAATAAGAATGTAATACTTAGAAAATGTAATATTTCGAAAAATAACATAGATAGAACAAAACTAAATAAAAAGCATATTAATAAATTTAATATAAAACAAAAAATATTAATCAAATTAAAATAAAAGAAAAAATAGTATCGAAAAAATATGAATATTTAAAGAAATAAGAAAAATAAGAAGCATTTCCAATAAGAGTTAAAGTATCTAGTGTGTGTACATGCGATTGAGTTGTTTCAATCACAGATGTGTTCGTGTAAATGAATACTGTTAATTTTAAGTCTAAGAAAAATAAATTTCGATTTGTAAGACATGTTATGAAAGAGAAATAAATAATAAATTTTATTTTTATTCAGATAAAATTTATTATTACTTTTATTGATACTTTTAAATTATAATTACTTTTTATTATTCATTTTTATTAATTATTACTCTAATTTAAAATTGTTTTTATAGTTTTTCTTACTCGATCTAGCAGTGTCAAGTGTTTTTACATCAAAAATATTTCTATTTAAATTTTTTCGTTGTATAATTTAATTTTAACTCTTAATTTTTGTAACTTTTAAATTTTTTGTGATAACACTTAAATTGAACAAGATAACGCAATTTTGTGATAATATTTTGTATAATATTTTGAGGAAGAATTAAATAACCACTACTTCAGTTGGAAGAGAAAATGTCTTTGAATGAATTGTAATGTAATTTTTTCATTTAAGAGGAATTTAAACATTTGGATTGGAATAGGAAGATCTTTCAATAAGATATACGTATACTTAGGTTTCATTGCAAAAATTAAAGATAGTACCATTTGGATTTAAGTAAATAATAATAAAAATAGTATCACTTGGGTTTTATTTTTTATTTTATGAAATAGTAGCATTTAACTTGACGTCACATTTGTTGATATCAATTCTTTTATACAAATGATTTATATCATTAGATTAATATTCATTATATTTAATATTATTTATAGTTATAATTTGACATGGTATAAAGAAATGGGATTTAACTTTGCGCCAGTTTTTGATATCAAATCTTTTATAGGAATGATATCATTAAAGTTAATATTATTTATATAATTTAGTATCCGAATTACATGGAATTTAACTTAGCGCCAATTGTTGATATCTTTTTCACGAATGATTTATAAAATTTTGACGAATTTCACTTGGCGTCAATTTTGTTGATGTCAAATCTTTTATATGAATGATACATATCATTAATTTTAAGTAAATAACAAGAGATAATACATTATTAGTATTTTATTTTTTAATTTGATAGAATTTAACTTGATTAGTTAAGATTGTAATATCTGAGTTTTAATTTTTTATTTGATACATTAATTTTTTTCGAAGAGTAATAATTTTTGACAGAGAATTAAAGCTGCCGTTACTTGGATTGGAATAAGAAAACCTTCAATAAGAATATCTTTGAAGAAAAATTACTACTAATTGTACTTATAATTAATTGAGTACTATTAATTGAGTGGATACTTAGTATTATATACAAAGGGCTGATTTCGCTAACTCGATTAAGCCAAATCAGTGATTAACTGACAACCGTAAGTAGTCAATTCTACTAGACAGCAAACATGATTCGTCAGTTCCATGGCCAATTAAGTAATTAGCGTTGTTGAAACCGAAATAATTCTTCACAAACAGCATTCATGCTTAGCGCTTTTTTTACTTTTTTTTAAAAAGATAAATTTGTATAAATAACAAGAAATAGTACCATTTGTGTTTTATTTTTTAATTTGATAGAACTTAACTTATCAGTTAACAATCTTAACTGATTAATTAAGATTGTAGCATCTGGATTTTAATTTTTTATTTAACATTAATTTTTTTCAGAAAGTAATAATATTTGACAGAGAATTAAAGTTGCCATTATAATATATACAGAAAGGCGAAAATGCAAATTAAAATTAAAATGAGTACACAAAAGACAGTCGGCAATGTTCCTATATGTATATGTGATTTCCGATCCGCAGGAATTCACTTTCTTATGTCCCATTGAGCGGAACTTGCGGATGCGGAATCAATGCGAGCCGCTATTTTGATAGATCTAAAACAGAGAAATGAAAATTTTACTGCAATGCCTGCAATGTATGCTTGCATCGCAATATGTCGTCGCTGTGACCAATCTTCTTAACCTGAATAGTCATCGACTTCAATGACTAATCACATTCATGAAGCAGACTTTTTTTGTCAAACTTTTACTTATGTTTATGTGAAAACGCATCGATTGGATGTATTGTTATTAAATCCCATTAAGAGTGTCATACAAATGTGGTCACAGTCAATGATAATCTTGATATTATTTGGATAACCTAGACATTTAATTACGCAAAAATACATCGACTAAAAGTATTTTTATCAATATTTGAGGTAACCGGAACCTAATATTATATACAAATAATACAGCTTTAGGCACAATCGCACTTATTCAACTCCTCCGCGATCACGTGACCGTACAATAACTTCAATTTATAATCTCTGCAGAGTGTAGAATGTGTAAAATGTGCAGAACCGTTGCAACGCATGCAACGCTCACTGACCATGTGTGATGTGACCATGCATTGCTAGCGCCACATTTGCCTCTTGCGCCAAAAATTCCAAAAGGACATTTCTCCCATTCCGTAGCGGCGACGACGACGACGTTTCTTAATTTTTTTCTTAATAAAAGTTTCAGGTTCGTATTTTGCATCGTAATATCTCCGCTCGTAAAGCACGTAGAGAAAAAATAAAAACACTTTAATTATACAATATATCCTGAACGGTCGCAATCGATTGAGCACACTTAGAACTTGATCGATTCAGCCCTTATTGAGATTCGATAATCTCTATCTAGTGCAACTAGATAGAGTCGGCTCGCGTAAAGTAGCCACAGTGCACGTAGCTTAGCGCCGAGACACTACCAGAAACGAGTGACCATTCGTTGTAAGTAATGATTGAGTGACTTTCCAACCCTGATGTTACAGTTAAAATCTTCATAAAAAATGTATTGAAGTAATTAATTTACTGCGTATGTATGCGTGTGCGTGCGTGCGTGCGTGCGTGCGTGTACGTATATACAATACATGTCTAAACTTTATTCACTGAATTATTTATACATACATATCTCAGGGCTCGGAATGCGATGTGTGTTTCGGTTGAGTTTTGATTCTGCTCGGATGTTGGAACGACAAGCAGTAATCTCATAGATGTAGCATATAAATGAAATTTTCAAATACTCATCTTATACTAAAGCTCATAACTCGTTTCTGTAAGCATAGTATTATTCTTTGAAATAAATCGCCAGCTACTTATTTTAAATGTGCAAGGTCTGAAATCATTATATATAGCACATTTTTTACTCGATTCGGATGTCAAAATGTCGACTAGTAAGAAGCGCCATTCCTCTTATCGCGTGCAACGATAAGCGGTACAAAGTACCGCTATTCAATTACAGAAATGGATTGAATCATTGTATAAACCAGCAATATATTATCGGCAGGAAACGCTATAATAATAATATATTTTTGCATATATAGAAATTTATATCAGGATCATTGTTTAGAAAAGGAATCGTGCGTCCTTGCCGCATCGGCGATAATGCCAAACCAGAATCGATAGAAACACAT